GGGGTATTAGTCACTATTGCCTTTTTTTTCCCATTTTCCAACTTTCTTCTGCCCATTTTTGTCGTAGCTTGTACTTCTTCTCTCTCTTTGATTGACAGCCACACCATTATGTATTTAAAGAAAAAGGAAAAGCAGTTTTTCAAAAGGATTTTCTGTTTTATTTGTAAATATTATTCGTTTTAATTTATAAAATATAGAGAGAGTGGAATAAGACGTTTTTGTCAGATTTAGTAATAATGCACCCTCCCCAGTATCTGCCCATACATACTATTAATAAATCACTATTTAATGTAAAAACACAGACAAGGCATCCATATTTGTTACATGTTAATTAGATAAATTCAAAAATATTTCAAGTTTATGCAAACTTTTAAATTACTATAAATACAACCCTACATAGCGTACTTTCTGCACCCAAGATATTTGTTTATTTGTTGAGTTTTTAAATCAAATTTTGTTTTAAAAAAAAAAAAACAATTAAAGAAGCAATGCCTCTCCTTTTGCACACTATAATTTATCCAGCTGTCTTAAGAATTACTAACCACAATGATTGATAAGTCCAAATTGGTGCTATCATTTGGGAACAGTCAGTGGAAGCATGGAAGCCATAAGCGAACATGTGGAAGTGGGTTTTCTGGCAGTCTTAAGGCAGGGCATGGCCCGAACAGCTGTGTGAGACAACTCATCCCAAACCACATGAGTGAATACAATAACACACACATGCTTTATATACACACCATATACACGCAACTGCATCTGGATGAAGCCTTTACTGAAACTGATCTTTGGTTTAAACGTGGATCTGCCCAGCTCGTGTAAATTGATGTGTGTGTATGATCTTATATTCAACTCTATACCCCCCTAGGTTGTTCAGAAACATTACGCTTGCGGAGTTGCTGTGCAGCAATTAAAGTAACAACACAAATACACAAATCCTTAAGTTAGGAGAGTCCTATACAACTCCTACAACCATGTTTAAAAAAAAGGAAATAAATCAGGATATTTCAAGAGCATCAGTGGACTGGTGTAATTACTGAGCCGCCATCAATGACCACAAACATGCTGTACATACCCTGCCCTGCCCAAAAGCTAGCTCATCCTCTCTGTGTGTGTGTGTGTGTGTGTGTGCGCGTGTGCCCGTGCGTGTGTGTGTGTGTCATTTTCCGCCTGCACTAAAAGCAAATAATGACAGTGATTTAAAGAACGGCAACATTTCCATTACTCTTGTGTCAGTGTGACACTTTATGTGTTAAGCTGAGAGCCATTACTTGATTTTTCCAATTAATTAACTATATTAAGAAAAATATATAAAAAATAACGGCCTCTGGAGTTGGTGAGTAATGGAGTCTTCTTTAATCAAATCCCGACATAATGTTTAAATAATACAAGAATAAATAAAGTCATAGAGTTTTACTTTCAACCATTGTCTTGAAAACCTTAAAGCAGTTTGTCAAGAAATTTTATTTGAGAATAAATTTGACGAGGCACTGTAGCTTTACATCTATGTATCCCTCTCACAGCAGCAGTACTAAAACAACAATTAGAAAGGTTTTGACTTGAAAACGACATAATAATGCTGCCTTTCCTGAGCAGACACTTGATCTCTGATTTTATGTCAACAGTCACAGAGGTCAGCACACATTTTGGCCTGGTTTATTTATGCCTGGTTCTCCAAACATCCGTTACAAATTACTTTCTCTGTGTGATTTTAAGTGAGTGAAAGTATATTATTTTTCTGCTAATTTTGGGTGCATGAGTTGCTTTTATCATGTCTTACCTTAAATGACTCACCAATTGAAACTGTGTAAGCGTTAAAAGGGTTATATGAAAGTGCACTTTGACAAAGTAAAACTAAAGGTGATGAAATTGAACCTGAAAAGTTCCATTATGGTTTAACGCTAATACATGCAATACAGCCAAACTGGGTATATCTTCATTATATTGAACAAACCTAATGAATCTGATGCTTATTTCCATTCAACTGTAAATATATATATTTTTTTTTACATAGGCCTAATTTATACAAAAAGTATATATTTTATTTTGTTTAAGCTTACAACTGGTTTTGAAATCATAAACCATCGCATTTCTTTGACAAAACAAAAACAGACAAGGCGGCTATTGTAGCATGCTAGCATACTTACTGTATCATTGAGCCAATGTTAGCATCTGTGTTTGGTGCAAGCTAAAACAAAATGTAACAATCTTGTAAAAGACCAGGCAAATATTTGGCCATAAACGAAAATTCAAAGAACAGGAGAAAATAACTATAATATCTTATAAGCGGTTTGGCCAAGACAAAAGCATTGGACCTACAAAACATGGTTGTCCTTATCTGAGTAATACAGCTAACGTGGCTACAAATCTGTAATAGCCTACTAAAAAGCTAAACAAACTAACAGCTAACTAAGCTAACTAAAAAGTCTGTCTTGAATATGTGGTTGCTCAATTATGTCAATTTAGTTTAATTCAAATGGTTAGTAATACATTTTCTGACAAATCCTGTTGGACAGTAACCAAGGACACTAACAGTGATAAAGATACGTAAATACAGCCATGTTTAGTCGACAGGATTACTAAGTAGTCACTGTTATCATCTAAGTTTATTGAATGTGTATTAATCCAGGCATTGGTTTTAATTAATTTGGTTGTTTTACTCAGATAAACAACCTCAGAAATAGAAGTGCATCCCATAGTTCATCATTGGAAACATTTAACTTAGTCAACCATGAGTCATTGTAGCAAAGTGCTTTTAATCTGGACATAAACATGATGGCTCTGACCACGAGTCAGGGGTCATCATGTACTGCCTGAGATGCAAGTTTTCAACCGCACACACTCAGGACCATGTGTGTTTATTAGGCAAACACAATAGAGAGGCAGATGATGATTGTGACTACAAAAACAGCTGCAGTTCTTTTTCTGTGGAGGGTGTAGCAACTTGATCACTTTGATTATTTTCATGAAAAAAGAGATGCATATACATTACTCTTAAGAGGTGTTTTTTGACAGATGTTGCATCATTGAAAAAGCTTTGGTGGCTGTTTCTATTTGTTGCCAGTCTTTAGCTGTGTCTTAACTTCTGCATCATAAGTGATAAACTTGAAAGAAAGCATATGTCTCTGAACTATCTTGCTCTCTGCTGTTCTTACAATCTATTAGCTCTGCAATAAAGTCAGTTGATGGGTCAGTAGGCTTTGCTTTTACAACGGTTGATCTCTCATCTCAAACGGATCTCATGTTACTTCAAATCCTGCTTTGCAGTACAGGCCTATGTCCTCCTGAGAAAGGCCACTTCATCTCCTGGACACCACAACTACAGCCAGAGGTTAAATGACGACAAACCATCCATTTCATTGACTTGAATAACAACCACGTCATGTTATCAATTCTTTCAGTGTTTATTATTTCAGTGGATTTATTGTCGCCTGCTTTGGTCTGAGGTATACAATTGGTATGTTTAAGTTTCCCAAAAAAGTGCTATGAAAGGTAGTATGTTATAAAAAAAAATAACGATACAAAGAAAAAATCAAGTCAATATGGACAGACACGTTTTCCAGAGTTCTCTCTAAGTTACCCAAGCTATAACAACAAAACCAATGCTCACTACGAGCTCGACATATGTGTGTGTGTTGGTGGACAACGCCCCACTATAGAGACTGTCATAAAATATCTGACCATCATGAGGAGGCATGGTCTAAATGACCATCTCCATGAGTGTGAGTAACCATAATGCACTGCACACCCTGACCACTGGTAAAGCCTTTTTGCAATAGTCATACACATGCACCACACACTGGTTATGGCACTAAATGGAGTGGGTATATGGTTATATTTTTTACTTTAAACACACGTACACACATTTAACAACCAGATTGTGGCAGTCAATTTTACCTCATATGTTTGCACTCGAACATTATACAAAATCATCACCTTAATCATTCATTTTTTTCCTGTCATATTTGGGTTGTTTCAGTTGAGAATGATGTCAGCATTACTCAATATAAAACACACACACACACACACACACACACACACACACACACACACACACACACACACACACACACACACACACTGAGTTGTATAATGAGAAAAAGGTGCAGGCAGCACAATGCCTGTAGGAGCTGCCAGACAATTGGCCTTCCTTTCAAACGGCTCCCCTCCCCAACGTCCCCCTTTTTTTGGGCTCCACATCTGTTTCACAAACTTGGGAAAGGGGCCTTGGAGTGAACGATATCTGGGTCAGAGGAAACTCTCTTTTTCTGTGTGCACACAGGCATGCAATTGTGCAGGACATACCACAATCATCAACTGCATGAAGATTAAATCTCACAGTATTTGAACCTGAGGGTGCTGTCAGTGGTCTTCCAAGGTGTGTGTGGTGGAGAACCTGCAACGGTTATAAAGGAATGGCTTTGAATGAAAGCCAAAATGAGACATTATCATCTTCATCCTGCAACAATCTCAAACAAAGGGAACTTAAAAAACAAAAGAATGGCAGTTTAATTTCTCGTGGATTATCTCCATTACTGACATTTTGTCATCAACAATTACTCTTAGACTCTTCTAGGTTAAACTGCACCAATATCACTGATTTTTATGTGATTGAATTCATGGTTAATGCTATATATCTCTGTAAATGTTTTTATAGAAATATTTTCATTATTGATTTTTTTTTTTAAATAGTGTGCTAAGCTAGTTAAGTATATCTTCCTTTCCCCCCCAGTTCATCACACTGGAATATGGCTAAGTATCTGCTGCCCCCTTTTGGCCAAGGCGTTAAACACACTGAGTGAGGACATCCTGCTGCTGGACCATCAGCACATATACTTTATCATGGACAAAGGTGAGCAAGAAACAACCCAATATCACAACAACAACAACAACAAAAAACACTCTGCTTTTATTCTGTGTCAGTTTTGTCAGGGGATTATAACAAATGTGTAAACACTGTTTGTGGTGAGATAAAAAAAAAGAGATTTCATTGATCGTGTCACATTTATTATTGTCAGATGGGTTGTCACAGAATACATCTACGCACACATGCAGAGGGCTTCTAAGCTTTTTTTGAATTGTCAATATACCGACAATACCTTCCAAGAAACAAGCACAAAACAAATGTTTGAACTCCATCTCACATCATCAAAACTTTGTATTAACAAGCTGATCACTAAAAAAAGAACATTCACAAACTTCTAGCCGAACTTCTAGCTAAAAAGGAAAAGCACATAAAACATTTTTTACAGCATTATGAATGGAATTGCCTAAAACTACAAACTAAAAGTCATTAAATAACTGAACATACCTTCAGTGCTTTAACTTGCTTTGTCTCTGCAGTTAAATTATAGTATACTCGTACAGTGTCTATTACCGTGATGACTGAAAATGACTCTCTACCCTTCCTCTCAGCCTCCTTTCTTCGGATATTTTAATTTGGCCAGTCGGACAAATTCTTCAGCACTGTCCAGTGACACCAGGCGGTCCTGAGAGAAAAGGAGGCAGTTGAGGGGTATGATCAAAAATGAAACAGGAGAGAGGGAAAGGTTGACAGAGCAAAAGGCAGAAACACGATGGGGGAAAAAAAGAATCAAAGAAGGGTGACATGGAGACGAGGACAAATGAAAGCATAACGTAAGTTTAATGAGAAACAGCCTAACATTTTAAGCTCGGTAAAGAACTTCCCTGATTTATCTTTATTAAGTTACAGTGTTTAAGACAGCACTTCCTGACAACATGAAAAGACCCTGAAAATTATTTAGACGAGCCAGAATGCGTCAGAATGTAAAAGTTCACTTTCAAAATGGGTGGAAGCTTTTGTCATATTCAGAGTATGTTGTGTGCATGTTAGTGTGTAAATGTGTGTGTGTGTGTGTGTGTACCATGACGTAGAGGTATCTGTTCTGGTGTCCAGTTTTTGAAGGAAACAGAGAGGTGTGTTCAAGCAGCTGTCCCAACAGTTCGCTCGCTCTGTTGAGATGCTCTTGATCTGGACTTAAGCGGCTCTGTCGGTTCACACACAGCAGGTTATCTACCTCACACTGATAACCTGCGGGGACATGAGGGAGGATCACATGACTACAGAGTTCAACCCAATGCATGTGTCGACATGAACAACATTAACCTTCAAAACATCACAGGCACTACATAGCTTCACCTAGCTGCAGCAGGATTTTCTTCCATCGAGATCTGACTTCACGTCTGGTGTAGCGTAGAGTGTAAATGTCATAGTTCAGCTTTTCCCATTCCTATGAGCAAACACATACAGATATTTTTACTGTGGAAAGTATAGCAGGTAAAAAGCTTCAAGGGCAATACATCCCCAGCTTCCATGAGCTTCACACCATTAAGTTGATTTAAATGAACTTGGCATGGGCTTTAAGTTGATGGGCTACATCTTGACATATAATACTATTAAACAGCAGAAATGGATATTGTGTGGCTCCCAAGTGGGTTACATTTCACCCATATTGAGCCAGTCTTTTAACCGCTTATAACAATTATTTATGACCTATTCATCATGCTTTTAATAGAGCCACTTGCATGTGTGTGTCTCTGTTGTTGTCTTTGTGTCTAGCTGTATACGCACTGATGCTCTTTTACACAAATTAAGTTCCTAATGGATAAATAAAGTTATTTGAATTTGAATTGAATATTGGGCAAATCAAAAGCCCTTCATCAACCCATCCGAAAAAACAGCAACATTTAAGGCGTTGAATAAATTACATTTGTGTGGTAGAAAGTGAATAATAATACACACACAAAAAACACAATTACAATTAATAAAAATGCGGGACCAACATTTTGAGATATAGTTGGTGCAATGACCCAGATCTTACCTGCTGTTTAGAGCCCCAGTGCCCCAGTCCACCCATACAGGTGTTGAGACATATATTGCCTGATAAGACCTCCTTAATATGAACAGAACAAACAGCTGTAACAAAGTCTATGTAAACCTTACTTTAGCTTGGTTACACCCTTCAGGGTTAGATAATCAGCCCTTTTCAGATTACATTTCCACACTTTAATGACGCTCCGCCATCATCAGGTCTCTGCACACTTTCATATTGGTTACGCAGTGGTGTAAAACTGGTGTCCCAAGCCTGTGATTTCAAATTGCGTTACACCATTGTGGAAGGGTTGTGGATATGGGAACAAATGGAGTGAGCTCCATATACACAATACACAAACACTCTGACATGCACACACACACACACTGTTCTCCCCAGCTGGCTCTGCTGATCTCATCTTACCTCTTACTGCAGGTGGCGGCACAGAGGTGGAACCGTGACATCTATCTTGAAGGCCAGATTTCAAAGAGGGCGTATATTGCACTTAGAACTGGAAGTCTGAATGCGGCTATTCTCAGAAGTAAAGCTTGAAAACCGAAATTGTGTAAGGTCTTGAGAACATTAAAAACTGTCTGAAGCAGTTGACCCCTGATTACAAACATTTCCCTTCAGTGAAATACCCAGCATATAAGAAAAAGTCTTTACGGCTGAATACCATTTAGCTGCTTCAATTTAGCTGCAGGTATTAAACGTACTGACTCACAGTAGTTCTTCAATGACAAGTCAAATCATCAGCTGTGGAGGAAAAGAAAAAGCACCCTCAACATAAATAAAAACTTTCTTAGGGAACAAATGTACTCTCACAAAGCAGTTTCCATGCTGGCATGCTCTACTTTATTTACTGTGCTAGCTTTCCCCAGAGCTGAATTGCCATGTCATCTAATAGACTTATTCTGGGGTTGGTTTGGCCCAATACTAAAACAGTCTCTCATGACATTATTGGAATGGTTCAGTGAATATTCCCTTTGAATGGCCAGCCAGACTGTTGGCCTACATCTCCATTAAGGAATTCATTAACACAATGTGGCCACTGTGTCGTGCAGTGTGCTGCTCTCCTGATGAAGACTGCTTGTCACAAGTTCTCTAAACTGAAACATGTCTGCTGGGACTGCAGTCACTCAGCTCCTCTGTGAGGCTTCACCGAGCTCAAGTTCTGACATATTGAAGAAGGAGCCTCTGGTTGATGGTCCCACTGTGTGCGGAATAAGACTCATAAATGATTTTTAAATGATTCTGAGCATTTCTCCAAAGATAGAATTAACAACTTTTTTTCATCATGTTATGTAAATGAGTGCAGTGAATCTATTTTCATTTTCAAATAGATTTTAGAGTCAGAAACCGTTCATTTTTATTTTTGTTTTCCGTGGTGGTCTTGCCATTTTCCAGTTGTGCAAACAACTGTCTGCTCAGTGCTCACACAGTGTGATTAGTATGTCGAAGAAAAACACTGATTGCCTTGCTATTGTTCAAACATTTTGAAATACTGAGAAACAACTAACACAAAAAGAGGAAGTTACTGTAAATGTATTTCATTCTAACTCTTGAATCAGTAACCAACAGTGATTTACTGTGTGAGAAATATGGTGCCACTGATAAAGTGAGTTGAGATGCTTGTATTTCATCTCTACAAACTAGCCGAAAAGCTAGACAGACAGACAGACAGACAGACAGACAGACAGACAGACAGAAGCAAATTTAGCAGTATTAGTTTTTCCAGTAACTAAGATACTCCTAGCTTTAAGTAATTTGTTCCCCATTTATAAAAATGTTTCTTACAAACATTTTCAATGAAATAAACCTCAATATATATATATATTTTTTTTTAAAAAGCTCCCAATGTTATTGGTTCATTATTTTATGTTCGCAGACTTTCTTTATTCCTATTTTTTCATTATCAAACAAAGAAGATGAGCTGCAGCATTATTCTATATATTAATTTAAGCTGGGTTAGTTCCTTCTGATATTTTAGAATGTAGGTCAATTTCATTACCGGTACAGTACCGGTAAGTAAACATGAAAGTTGGTTAAAGGCTTCTTTGAAAGCCTCCTGTGTATGACCGCTCTCCTTATTATATAATTACATTACACAGCTGCTGAGGTACACATAATGGGAAAGACTTCAGCACTTAATTACTGTAATACCTCCTGGAAGTAGTTTGTGTGCTATGTTTGGATGTAAATGGTGATTTTCTGCTTTCATCATTTCCCAGAAAAAAAAACACTCATGCTGAAAACTGCTTATTTCTAAACCTATGAAACAAAGTAAAGGTGTAAATTGTGACATTTGATGAATTTTTGGCATCCTCTATGATCACTCCTGGTTCGTTTTTTAAACAAGTATAACTTGTTTTTTACTTAACAGTTAAAAAACTTAACAAGTTTAAAGCTCAACCTTTGACATTTAGGCATGCAAAACAGAAACTTTTATTACAATTTATCACCCTAACAGGTATGAGAAACTTTCAATGTTTTTGAATAAACATATATAACACTTGAATGCATTTGATGGAAAAAATCTCAGTTATTCTAAATCCTGATAATTACTTTAAACTACTTAAAAATGCCAGAAGAATTCTTTAAAATGCAACCATGAAGTTAATAAACATGATTTAATAACAGTGGAAAGATCAAAATAGTGTTTCTTGTGCCCAGCCTTAATCCAATTGTTCTTGTTGTTATGTGACTCATACCAAGGAAATCTTTTAAATAATGAACTCGCCTGTGTTAAAAAAATCAGTTAATACCTGACTGTGGTCAATTTTTGTAGTCAGTAAATCTCATATATCACATCAATACACTTCCTCTTACCTCTGTGGCCTGGTCAGCCTTGTCCCTCATGCTGATAAAAGCTTGTAGTTCTCTGTCCGATCCTCGCCTGGTGGGAGAGTCGGGGGGTTTGTTTGCGGTGACCCAGGGTTCCACGGTGCTTCTCTGGCTCGGCTGTTTGTTCCACGGGCTTCTTCTGGAAGACTGTGGCCCATAAAGGCTCTCGTCTTCTGTGTCGCTGGAGTCACTGGATAACAGCTCTGGTTGTCTGGTAGCTGGGGTGTTACGCATACTGAAGAAGGAGTTAGAATTAGAGATACAACAACTGAATACAACTGATTCAGTTAAAATTAGATTCTAACAGGCTGATTTAAAACAAAAAGACAAATGCAGAAGTTATGTCTTACTGCAAAATAGCATTCTTCTCTTCCCTGCTGTTATTCAGATAGTACTGACAGCAGCAGATGGTAAACTTGGCACCCATTGACCTTTTCCAAAAGTTTCTTTCCAATAGAATACAACTTGCCCCAGTGAAATCCCCCCCCCAAAAAAATCACACCATCTCTAACAACATTCCCTCTGGACACACAAATATTTCCACACTGAACACCAAAAAACCAGAAGCGATATCTTTAACTTGGTCCGTCCCCCTTTCCCTGTGCCCATCCCGGAATGAATGAGAGCCGTCTGTCAATTGCATTATCCACGTGAGTCTAAACAGGGCACAACAACAACAACACACACACACAAACACACTCACAGCGTTCAAGGATGAATGGCACATTTATTCAGCAGCTCCTGTTGGCGCGCACAATGATGCAGAAGGCAGAAGCAAAGCCTGCAAAAATCACACCCGCTGCAACACATGTAATTTAGACTTGTATTTGTACTATCATATTCTGTGTGTCTGTTTTTTTTAAATTGGTTTTCCTAAATGTGTGCAGGCAGAAGAGCACAATAAAGTGTCAGGCAGATATGATCAGTAAAGATGGGTAGATCTACCTGGTGACATAAGCTGTTTTATAGTTTTAGTGACTCTTCATAAATGTTAATGTGTAACTGAATTAGACTGTCTCTGCTCATAATCCTTCATAGCAGACATGTATTTGTATTTCTGTGTCGGCCTGTAAAACATTGCGATTCACTCTTTTGTCAAGGTCACCTGGAAAAACTAAAGTTAGTACAGCGGCTGAAAGAGAAAGACAACAGCGTACATATATGCTGTAGGAGCCGTTTTAGTGACAGCCCGGAGAAAACGTTCTACTTAGAAGTCTTTAAAGGAGCAAAGACAAATGGAAAACAAGTTCTACACACGGAAATGTGGGATTGGATGTTTGTTCCTCATGATTTTAAGCTGTATTGTAGACACTTCAAACAGGTGAGTGTTGATGTGTGTTGATCCAAATCAAAAGTCTTGACTAATAACTTAAAAAGTGACACTGACTCTAATTATTCAAACTCAAATATATATTTTTTAAATTTAAACTTTCTTGAATGATAGCATACAAGACTTTGATGTTGATTTGATGAGAAAAATATATTAATGGTCGCAATGTATTCACAATTTTATGACTTAAATGTTCCTTTTTCAAGAGAGATTTTCAAGCCCATCTCGACGAAGCATTTGTTTACTCACTGCAAACATTTTAGTATGCATAATGGAACTTAAAAGACACTTTTTTTTTTGTTCACAGTTTAGTGGACAGATTGGAGTCAACCAAGAGTTATGACTATACCAAATATCATCCCATGGCTGAGGTATGTTTCTATTTATTGTCACACGTCGACATAAAACCATATCAACTGTAGTCACCTGATGATGTAATAAATGGGTTATTATACTCTAATTGTTGGAAAATAAATAACCTGCTGGTAAGAGCTACATGTAAACAATGTTGATATTGTAATAGTAGATGTAGACAAATCCAGGGATGAACAGCAGCATTTGTTTTTGCAATTTGTAATTCATTATTTATGGAGTACAGATGAGCATAGGTCCAAATTAAACGATTTAAACATCCAAAGGTAATATCATTGTGAGTTATTTGTATTACAGATCTACAGGTGGATGGAAGATGTGGAGCGAGGGAACCCAGAGCTCATCTCTTCAGCCGTTTATGGACACACTTTTGAAGGACGAAATATCACACTGCTGAAGGTAGTCTTCACACTTTCCCCTTCATTGTGTACCACGTTGTATTATATCCTCCTTCATGTGTAACTGTACACAAACTATATCCATTCATATGCTTAACATCAAATTATCTCATTAAATAACTTTTCGTAGAGCCACTCCTACATGCTGTTCATTGTTCCAGTGTGGTAAATTAAAGAATGAATAAAAATAAATATAAATTGCAATGCTGAAGTTTTTATAGGTCAGATTTATGGCAGCAAAAAATAACTGCTTACACAAAGAACTCTGTACATGTACACATTTTAATCATGCACCCATGTCTAGTTTATGTACATGATGTTTGCCTTCTGCAGATATTGTGGTTTTTTTAAATGCACAAACATAATGTTGTTTTATGAAATGTTTGACAAGCTTTTTGTGTCCATGTGAAGCACTTTGAATTGCCTGGTTTCTGAATGGTATTAATAATTTATATTTTATTAATCCTGCGAGGGAAAATTCTGTTTTACACTCTGTTTAATGAACATGCTACACACACATAGGCCGAAATACACATACATGCACAAACAGGATCTTATTAACTTGCATTACTGGAGAGGTGTGACAGAGTGAGGGTGCTGCACACAGCGAGCGCTCCAGAGCAGTTTTGGGGTTTGGTGCCTTGCTCAAGGGCACCTCGGCAGTGCTCAGGAAGTGGACTGGCACCTCTCCAGCTACCAGACAAATTTACAGGCTTGGTCCGTGCCAGGACTTGAACCTGCGACCCTCCGATTCCCAACCCAAGTCCCTACAGAGTACAGACTGAGCTTCTGCCGCCCCATTTACAGTATATGTAATCTTTAATGTGTATCTTCAATCAACCTGACTCTTTTGCTTCTTATTTACAACATTTGTGTAAACAAAAAAAGTGTTTGTTTAAAACTATACAGGTACTTGCATGTCTAGTTAGGCATGATGGGTGGGCTGTAGCCGTGTGGCAGTATGTTCAGTATCTTAAACAAGACAACATGGAGTGAAAATGTACCTGACAAATATTTATTTGGCTTAAGTCATGAAACCAAGATACCACAGTTACTTGTGACAGTATTTTAAAATACTGCATATCTCACTTTTCCATCCTAATTTACCCCTTGAGTGGTCATGATGTGTGTCTCCAGTTGGGACTACGACACCCCGAGGGGAGAGAGAAGAAGGTTATATGGATGGACTGTGGAATCCATGCTCGGGAGTGGATCGCTCCTGCCTTCTGTCAGTGGTTTGTCAAAGAGGTCTGTGGACTTTGTACTCATGTAAAAGTTCTATGATGCAGATGGTTTTTTTTTTCCCAAAAAAATCAAAGCACTATCATGTGAGAATAGCAATTCCTCCTTTTTATCAGATTGTGCAATCTTATAAAACCAATGAGAAGCTGGAGCAGATGCTGCAGAACCTTGACATCTATGTGACTCCTGTGATCAACGTGGATGGATATGTATTCACCTGGGCCAACGACAGTGTGAGTGCTTTTACTGCTTTATTACTCTGAATAACATTGCAGTTCACTCAGTGACATCATTTCAACTAAATGACTTCAAATGTCATTAACGTCACACAATCTAACAAACAAACATGTCTGTGTGTTCCTATAGACTCGTCTGTGGAGAAAGTCTCGTTCGACCCCCCCTGCAGATGCTAGTTGTTACGGGGTTGACCTAAACAGGAATTTTAATGCCAACTGGGGAAGTGAGTTACATGCTTTTGAGATCGGATTCTGACTTGTTTTCCCTCATTTACTTTAAGGCCGTATACGTTAAAGCGTTTATGTGTAGTAACCTATAAATATTTCTGGGACACCAGTGGCCTAGCGTTCGTGCGGGCGCCCCATGTACAGAAGCTAAAGTCCTCGAGAGCGAGAGGCCCGGGGTTAGAAACTGAGATGTGGCTCCTTTTCTGCATGTCGTTCCAAACTCTCTCTCTCTCTCTCAGTTTCTGACTCTATTCACTGTATACATTTTTTTTTAAATAATTTCTGTCTTGAGCAACTTTGGTTCTATTTAAGAGACAAGGTCGTTATAACTTGCAGACAGAATGTGTTAGGGGGGATAAACTGCAACAATGTTCTACATGTTTAGTGTAAAATAATTTCTAAGATGTTTAAATCACATAAAAGCCGAACAGATTTTGCAGCAACAAAACACCAACTGCAGTTAGATGTTAACGTTTTAGTTACCATTGACCATGTGCTAAATGGTAAATGGGCTTGAGCTTGTATATAGATCTTTAGAAGTCTTTTGACTACACATAACGCTTTTCACTGACGTTTTTTTACACTGCATGTCACATCACATTCACACACTGATGTCAGAAGTACATGTAAATTGTCCATAAGTATTTACTTATCCAGTTCTTACAGATATCACATTCAAATGCCGATGCAGCAGAGGGAGAAATTTGGGTTTCGGTGTCTTGCAGAACTAGGTGATCGAAACTCCAACCTTTTAGACTACTGACTCCACCACTGAGCTACAGCTGTCCCTGATCATTTCATGTTCTCTGCTTTATTCAAAGGGCAAAACATGGATATATATTTCGCTCTAAATACCAAAAAACAGAACAAGTGTAAATCTGGGGATCGATATCAAAATGTTTTCCATCACTGCTTTAATTTCAAACTAAAAGTACTCTAGGAAGATTATAATCATGTCAATCAAGGGCGCTACACCGGTATATATTCAACTCATTCAATGAAACTCACAAGCTGACAATGTAACTTAATGTTGTTATTGAGCGTGTTCTTATGAAACGGCTGAAGCCAGCTGACACTTAATTTTATATTCTCACAAGTCTTTGTTTTTTTTCCATGAATTCAATTGTTAAGATTATATTTGACATGAGGAAGCAAATCTTTTCCACAAATCTCCTGCAGTGTTTTTTATGTTTATCGTGTTAACACGCTGACCGATGGTTTGTCTTTTTCTTTCCTCAGCGGTTGGTGTGTCATTTGACAGTTGTTCAAACACGTACTGTGGAAAACATGCAGGATCAGAGCCAGAGGCTTCAGCTGTGATGGACTTTGTTGGTAACTCTCTATGTATTTATGAAATTACACAAAACAATACAGTATTTCAATACAAGAAGGGTCGTTTTCTATGACAACTTGTGTTATCTAAATCTTTATAGATGTAGGATTTGACTTAATATGTACGCTTTCTGTGAGCTGATCATAAATGTCATGACAACATTCATGTATACGAACTGTGAAATGTTAAGGCCTGTTTGATATTTATTACAAATATGAACCTTTAAAAACATTGTGTTGATAATTATGACTTGTGTATTCGGTTTTATTTAGGTAAGATGGTCAATAAGACTCTTTGTTTCCTCACCATCCACTCTGCTGGGCAGCTTATTCTCTTGCCATATGGGCACCCTGAGATCTCTGCACCCAACTACAACGAACTGGTGAGTTTGGGTGCCTGTGTGCATTATATATGAGTAAGTTACTGTTACGCCCTACCACAAGGCGGCCCTATGGGGCTAACAACAATCCACAAATTGACCCATTAAAATACTTAAAACACCTTAACAAAGTCAAAAAGATTGATTTATTACAATCACTCTAACTTAAAGATAACAAAGTTCAACTTAGAAAGTAATATAACAAAAGACAACAGACAATCTAAACTCTAAAACAAACAATCCCTATGCCGCTCAGTCAGGGATTGTTTGTTGTGTTTTGTTTCTAAGTTGATCTTTGTTATCATTAAGTTTGAGTAATTCTCATAAATCCCTTCTTTTTGACTTGGGTAGAGTTTTTTGGAGCTTTTATTGGGTCAGTGTGTTGATTGTTGTTATCCCCATAGGGTCGCCTTATGGTGGGGCGTAACACTACACAATAGACCTTTGGTTTGAATAAACACAGCTTTTAAGTGTTCAATGGAGGAGTTATTATATTGTCTTAATACTAACTTTTTTCTTTGATTTCCCTGGCTAACCAGCCTATAAACAACATTTCATAATACATGGTTAGATTATTTTTTACCTTTTCTTACTTTTTGTGAATTGGACAGGTTTCAGTGGGTAAGACAGCAGCAGCAGAAATGAAGAAGGTACATGGAATGGACTACACTGTGGGAACATCTCCACAAATCCTCTGTAAGTCTGAAACGTGTTCAGTCACCTGACCTGCTCTTTTCTGTCCGTGCCTGCCCTGAGTAGCTATTAGATTGGAATAGAATAGAATTGGGGCGCCAATAGCCTAGCGGTTATGTTGCGTTCCCCATGTACAGAGCAGTCTATGGTACAGAGGCTGTAGTCCTCACTCAGCAGCTATGGGTTTGAATCTGACATCAGCCCTTTGCTGCAGGTCATCCCCCACTCTCTCTCCTCCCAACACTTTCTGTCTCTCTTCCGCTGTCCTATCTAAGAAAGGCAAAACGGTCCAACAAATAAATCTTCAAAAAATAATAGAATAAATCTTGATTGTCCACCAGAGGTGGAAATTTGCTCTAGGCTCTCCATATACATAAAACAGCTTTAAAGATATCCAGGCAGTCAATAACCCAGACAACCATAGCAGCTACATTTACACATTAGAAACAGTTCATAGCATGGTTCAGATCTCATCAGTCATGTTGTAAGATAAAGGATTATACCAACAAATGTTTTATATTTGCTCTGTTTAAACGAGGTACTCCTTAGTAAAAAGACTGACTGCATGAATCACACATAAATGGAACGTGATAAAAGAATTACAGAAAAATAAATTGGAAAAAGTGTAGTCTTCCTGCGTCAAACCAATGAATACAACTGCTTCAGACTGCTTTCTCCTCGCCATTATATTCTCTTCTTCTCTGCCCTTCAGATCCAAACTCAGGCTCAAGCCGTGACTGGGCTCGTCTCACTGGCATCCCATTCTCTTACACATTTGAGCTGAGAGACAAAGGTGAACTGGACTTCAGTTACTTTTCTCCAAATAGTCATCAGCCAAAAATAAATGTACGTCAATGCTTTTACTTTTGTCCTCCAGGTGAGTTCAGCCACTTGCTGCCAGAGGAGCAGATCCAGCCAGCCTGTGAGGAGGCTTTTGCAGGAGCTCTGTCCATTATCACATATGTTCATGATAAGGCCCTCAATAATGCTGCTGTCCCTAAAGTGGCCAGCTCCGTTTATGGGGTTGCTACAATTTGGATCATGGCTGTGTTTATCACCACAGGAGATTTGGTGTAAGGAAGTAAAATTTCTATCATACACGGTTGTTTTCTAACCTAAATGTAATCTTAAAAAGTCACTAAACACATTATAAGCTCGGTAATTGAGCTGTAAATGCTTTAAAATAGCTGCATTGTGAAACTTTTCATAACACATTTTAAGAGAAGAAAAAGACTTGGAAAATGTTTTCCAAGTCTGTTTTCAGAGTAACTCGTCCATGCTGCTTTTTCCCCTTTTGACAGCAGGGGGCAGTATCAGCACATTTTAGACAGCGTCCTCTTCTCCATTTATTCAGGCTTCTTAAGTTCAGATACATTTTCCATCTTTGTTCTTCCTACAGTAGCATCATGTGGATTGATGACTTTTGCAAAAGTAAGCTCCATGTCTTGATTTGTTATCATATCTAGAAGTCACATGCACCCATTAATACCACCTGATCATACTGATGGCAGAGGCTGCAAAAGTGCCCATCAGTATGAAGTAATCACCTGGACTCATATATTGCAAATAATCCTACTTCAGGTTTGGTCTGAAATCCTTTTTGTGGTTGTGTTAAAAAGCCTGTTTACCACAGCAGCTAAAATTGCAACTCTTGTCCAGTCAGAGGAGGGTTTTATTTTGTCCTCTAGTGTTGGTAATACCATTACACAGCTTGTCAGAGGTGATAAAGTTGTAACCCCGGGACCTGAACTTCTTTGTTTTAAAGTTCAGGGACAAGGCTGACTATGTTCCTCACACTTCTACAATGGGGTGCCATGGTGAAGCTTTGACATTTTGACTCATTGGATTTCCACATTCTGTGTTTTTTTATAGTAAAAAAATAATAATAATAATAAATCATTTTTCTAGGCTCGTTGATCACAAGTCTTATTTTCTGTGGGTGAATGGATGTTTACACTGTGAACTTCAGGTATACAGAATTTCCTTCCAATGTCCTCCCATTGTGACTGAGATTTATATTTCTGGAGTGTAACCTCCCCTTCTACCACAAGGTATTCACACACACACACACACACACACATACACACACACACGCACACACACACAGACACACACCTGTGCATTCAGCCATTGACAATGTGACATTGACATAGTGCAGTTGAATACCTTATGTGAGGGTGACTGATAGACCACTCGCCCTGATGGCTGTTCCCTAAAGGTGTGTGTGTGTGTGTGTGTGTGTGTGTGTGTGTGTGTGTGTGTGTGTGTGTGTGTGTGTGTGTGGTGTGTGTGTGTGTGTGTGTGTGTGTGTGTGTGTGTGTGTGTGTGTGCGTGTGTGCGTGTGTGTGTGCACTGTATTTGAACAGCAGTGGAAATAGAATTATATTCCAGCTCACAAGAAACCTCGACAGAACTGAAAGACGGGTCAAACACCGGGGGACACAGAGAATAATAAGCAGGGACACTGACACACACACACACACACACACACACACATTTATACAGCCCTTTGGGGAAAAAAACAGTCACTGCTCCATCACTTACACCCATAAAAGATACTCACACATGACTTGGTGAGAAAGAGCAGAGCTTTCCGTCGCACACACATGCACACACAAGAACATTACTGGGCAGGGATTCAGAGACACAGATTGAAGGTGATTATAATTCACAGTGAAGTTTGGCCGGTTCTGCTCATCCATCTACTTGTATGCGTGCATGTGTGGTTGAACACTCATCAAGGTAACAGGGGGAAAGCACACCATGGCCATTTGTATTGTAAAGATAGCAAAAGTGAGGAAGAGAGATTCTCCCCCACAAAGGAAAGAATGGAATAAGAATGGATGGAGTTACAAAGGGGGGTATTGGAAATCGATGAATAAGGAGGAGAAACAGCAAACAGGCTAACAAAGAGTGATTCAAAAAGATTTCCTTAAAAAATCAGTGATGAACCCTTAGGGCTGCCATACAGATTCAAAATACACACACAGCATCCATACAGGGAGGAGATTTGGGTTGATGGATGGTTTCCCTAAAGAGACCAAAGTTTTAACCCCATTAGAAATTGTCTCGTTCATGTCTGTCTTGCATGGGCCCTCCTGTACAAGTGGATTCAGCCATATTATTTGCTTGGTCAACCTGACTTTAAATATTAAAAATCTGTTGTGACAGAAAATAAAAATTTTCATGAAGCATCTACAAAAATCTGAGAAATTCATAACTATTAGCAAAACGTTGTTCAAAAGTTTATGTTGCAGCTTAGGTCATTTCTCAGGACTGTGTGGGTGTGTTAGCTCACATATGTTAATCAAAATTTCCGCCATTAAATGGGTATTGCAACTGTCTTATTCGCTACTCAAAGCATCCTGGGTACCTAGCCATGCTAACGGAGCTATAGCAACGCCACTTTTAACAGCTTTTCTCCCATAATATGTCAAAATCATTCCAAACAAAGAAAATGGTAATATAATGTTATGAAAATAAACTTTGTGAAGTGTTGGTTTGTTTCAATAAAAACCTAAATTCAAGACAACCAGTGACCAGCAAAACTAAGCGTCTACTGCTGATCTGTCGGCTTCAGTGTGGTTCAGGTTGGCAGGACACCGCTCCGGGTGTTAGACGAAGCTGTTTGGCAAAGCCTCAGGGCTTTCCTGGAAAAATTGGTTAATCAATATTGTGGGGGGGGGAATGAGTGCAGCACATAGGGAGTGCTTTTGCAAGACTCCGCCCCGGCTTATCAAAACACAGCCCTCTTTCTCTCTAAGTCCACCACATGACAAGCTGTCAGCATTAGGTGGATGTGCAGCCAGGAACATGAGCATGAAGGAGCAAAGAGCGGAGGGAAGGAAGAAAGAGAGACGGAGAGGGAAAGAGATCAGATGGATGGATCAGATAGAAATGAGAAGATAGATGAACTGATAAATCACACGTGGTATGTTGTTAAACGCCAAAGGGCGACGCAGTGAGGAGATGGCTCAGACTTATGAAGGCAGACTAGTGCAGAGTAGATTTGTTGCACTTTATTGGGTGGGACATACCTGTTTTTTTAATTATTGGTTTGAAATGAATTATGTAAGAAATCTCAGAACTTACCCCGGCAACTTTACACCCAATTTCAGAAGATGAAGTCATCTCTAATACTTTAAGAGAGCTTGTTATTATGTACATAAGATCCTAAATAACAGTGTTAGAAGCTTTTTGTGGATTTGAGTTTCCAGGAGCTTTAATACAGCAGAGTGGACAGTAGCTTTTAGAGTGCATATGAAATCTGCAATTTTTTATTTTACTATTATATATTTTTTATTATTATCATTATTTTTCTAGTATTATTATATTATTTTTGTGTTTTGTTGTTGTTTGTGTTTTGTGCTTGTCTTTTCTTTTTGCCCCCTGGTATGGTTATGTTATTGTAATTTATGTGTCTATGTGTGTGTGCATGTCTGCGTGTGTATATGTATGGGTGAGGAGGGGGGGTATGTGACATGTTACCAAAAAAATAAAAATTGTCCTTAATGATTATTGTATCATGATAGCTGTCAAATTAATAAAGAGATATTTAAAAAAAAAAAAAAAAAAAGAAATCTGCCGTGGCACATCTTGTAAAAACAAGCATTACCTAGATTGTCCAGCAGCTGTGTCGCAGTAGGATCTGGTCTCAGCTGTGGTTTGAAAGGTAGCTGGGTTACAGTAAATTGTAATTCGTCTCTCTTGTCAATGTAGACTGCGGACCTGAGGCAAAATGAAGGCCTGCTTTCTTTCATTGACACACAAAAGAAGAGAGGGAGAAACGGAAGAGAGATTGGAGGGAAAAAACAGAATAAACTGGAGTCTCTGGTGAGTGCTGGGTTCAGTCTGAGGCTGAGCTGAACCCACAGACACACACCCTCAAACAGTCAGTGCCTGCTGTTGCTGGCTAAGAGCCATTTTTTTCAATCTGCCAACTGACCTAAATCCATGGAACATATTTATTAACTTGCTTGTTTTCCTGCTAACACTAGCTACTGAAAGCAACAACCTATTTGCTTCAGGAAGCAAACGTTTGACGGTTTCATTTGCATGTGAATGCTTAGAAATTAGAACTTTGGACCACATTCTGCTATTGTGCTTTAAAGGCGCTATATGGGAGGTCACTCTTGGTTTGGAGGAACTCACATGCACTTACCTGTTCCCATTATGGGACATGCACATAGATTCGGGGCACCATAACACTATATCTTAACATATCAAATACCTGTTTGCTATATTCATGTTACAGATCTCATATAGAAAACCTTTGTTGAGTTTAGTGTGGGGCTTTTATTCCTTTATTAATGGGACAGTGGAAAGAGTCAGAATCATGGATTAGAAAATGAGGAATGAGATTTTGGAAAGGAGCTGCAGGTTGGAGCCGAACCCCGGCATCATAATGGGCAACATAACCGCTGTGCTATTAGCACCCCTAACGAGACGATTTTGTTGTAAACATAAATACTGATATTTCCTCTGGAGATGAATAACAGACAACAGTACACATGTGTGTTTTGTCTCTTCAGAAATAGCAGAGGATTTAGTTGACCATGTTTATCTTTAAAAAAAAAAAAAAAAAAAAATTATAAATAAAGCCCTCCAGGGTGCTCGTTTAGATTAGTTGGAAGGATAGGCGCCCCGTGTTTAGAGGTAACAGCCGTCATCATACTGGTTTCAACAATGACTCCGGTCCTGACGCTATTAGGTGCATGTCATCCCTCACTCTCTCTCCCCCCACATTTCCTGTCTATCTTTAGCAATCCTATAAAACAAAGCCATTGGCCATGGCTCTGAGACATTACACCTTTTTATTTCCCAGCAGGACAGTTAATTTTAGACTCTAATTTCTTGTCATTTCTTTTAATGTTTCAACGATGGAAACCCTGTTAAAACATGACTTTCAGACAATAACAGTGATATGTTTATTCAGGCTCAACTACGTCTTAAGGGTGCAACAGTACCTCTCATTTCTCACAAACTCTCCATGAATCCCCCAGGTGACAGCCAAGGTTCAATTTCCAGTTGTTGTGTCAAAGAGGAGAAATCATGTTTTAGCCTCACTAAGTGCTGAGAATATTTTTGAGAAACTGCCCAGATTACGCTCAAATGTTCTGCTCCATTCTAGACACCAGTGGGAAAACTCTTTGTAATACCCTCAACACTGGGCGTTGACAAGTTCATTTTCACAGCATGTTTCACCGCTGTAGCTTTCTCATTTGTTCAGTTAAGACTTGGGGTTTTAATGCAGCTTTTCAGCCCCTTCAAACATGTGTGTTTGCAAATATACCACACACATTCAAATGATGAATAGGAGTGTGGGTGAGAGGGCTTCTCTGCAGTGAACCTATGACACATCTTTGCCACATATTTGTATTGCTAATCAATGTAGATGACACCATTTTTTACACTCTGTCCCTGGCAATCAATGGGAATTATGCCATGCTTTTTAACTGTCACTGGTAATCAATGAGGGTGGCGCCATCATCTGCATCTCCTGATCATTACATCTGGTGATCGATACCAAAGCTGGCTCGGGATGACACACGATCATCTAACTGGCAATCCAAGATGATGGGTAGATATGTGTATGTGTGAGGGGAGAAAGGGAGAAAGGGAAAGGGGAAGGTGAGTGCTGGGTTCAGAAAGGGAAAGTGTGAAACCAAATGTCACACAGGGAGGGAACTCAATAAATTAACAAACAGACATAGGTGAATGGAAAATATTTCACTCTAAAGACAGGCGTAAAGCTCGGGGAGTGGAGAAGTCACATTTCAAACCATCATTCTATCAACAGACAGTACAGTCGTCAGAAAATCCTCCCTTCCTTCCTTCCTTCCTTCCTTCATTTCTGTTTCTCTAACTGTCAAGGTACACATGAGTTCCTGTCGTTGATAATCTTGAATTTAATCATT